ATGAGCAAAAAAAAAAAAAAAATTACAATGGAGATAATAAAAAAGCAACTAAGTTAACTATATAGCTGTTACTTTGTGGAAAAATTGCTGTCCAAATTTGATCACAACAGAACAAAAGATGTGCTTCTCTGTCAAAAACTTAATTCATCAACTTTAATGATATATTTAATTTATATTGTCAGAAAAACCACTCATCCCATTAAGAATGCAAATGGACAGCACAAACATGACATTTAAAACCACTTCCTTCCTGCAGGTTAGTGGAGATTTTTCATATTAGACTACACTGACTAACCATTGCAAAGCCAGACAACAGTGCAGAGGTCCTGCTGGAGGCCTTCAGCTTGGCACGGCTCAGATAGAGTTTCCTCCATGACAGTGCCTGCACTGAGTGGTGGTTGGAGCTGACCAACTCCAGGTAACTACGTCGCACCCAGTCCCTGTAGTCCATCCCGCTGTTGTCTGGGGCATGCTCTGCGACCCCTAGGGCTGGAGAACCCATAGGCACATTCAGCTCACTGCTCATTTCACCTGGTGGATATGAAGCAGAGACAGGATCACATCAATGACCTGGTGTCTCAGATCCCATTACAGATTAAGATTAGAGATATGAGATTAATACACGTGGCATGTTTAAACGATAATAACATAAAAGGTTTTTGTTTTTTTAAAATCTCCTGCAAGAACCCTTTGACATGTACCACTTTTATGCAAAAAATGAAGCCACTTTAGCGTGATTCTTAGTTCTAAATATAGTCACAGCTCTTAACTGCTATTCTATCACATTACCATGAACTTTGTTTTGAAAGCACTTCCTCAAATTAATCACCAAATTATGATTGATTGAGAAGCAGGAGACAGTGTTAACCTTGTGATCAGCGTACTGTGGGACATTGAACAAAACCAACATTTTTTTTAAGTGACTCATTTTGAAAACAGAAAACTTCCCTTGTGGTCACAGGAGATACGCATCAGATACAAAAATTTACATTTGGTGATGCTGCTGTGGACAATTGCAGCTCATAAATCATCAATCTGTGACATTCATATTTTTGACCATACAATACTGCAGCATTTATAGCAAAGATGGTTTACCAGCTCCTGCCCATATCTAGGTCTGTTTACATATTACAAAAAAAAAAAAAAAAGATACATCATGGGTCCTTCAGTTTATTAACTGCGATGTTATCATAGTAACCCAATAAAGTTTATATATAAAGAAATGCTCGGTT